ACCAGTTATAAATCCCCTTTATGTTATCAATATCCTTCAACATTCCTTCATGTTGTTTTTAAGAATACAGATGATCCCTGACTTACAATAGTCTGACTTACAATTTTTTGACTTTAGCATGGAGTAAAAACAATCTGTATTCAGTAGAAACCGTACTTTGAATTTTGATCTTTTCCTGGGCTAGCAATATGTGGTAGATCCTCTCCTGTGATGCTGGTCAGCCACAGCTCCTGGTCAACCATATGATCACAGAGTAAACAACCAATATATTGCAAACATTCTATACCCAGATGACCATTCTGTTTTTTACTTTCAGGGCAGTATTCAATAAATCACATGCAATATTCAATACTTTATTATAAAATAGGCTTTGTATTTGATGATTTTGCCCAACTATAGGCTAATATAAGTGAAAAGAGTGCGTTCGAGGCAGGCTAGGCTGAGCTATGATGTTCGGTAGGTTAGGTGTATTAAATGCATTTTTAACTGATGATATTTTTAACTCGCTATAAGTTTATCAAGATGTAAGCCCATGGTAAGTCGAGGAAGATCTGTATTAGGAAATATTTGTCTTGTTCAGATCCAGATTTCTGGATTGCATTTTTTATCAGCCATAATCATAGGCATATTTTAGGGAGAAATTAAATTACTTAGGCCTAAATAAAGTCAGTGAGGCCATGTTGACTTGGTTACCAACTTTTGGTTACCAACTTCCTTTCAAGATGGTTGAAAACCGTCATTTTAATAATGTGTATTAAAACCAGTAATTACCTGTGTTTGGTGGATTTTTTTCAGGACTGCATTGATTTGTTTTATACTTCTAGGATTTCTTCCATTCTTGATAAATTCTTATGGATGGAATGTTAACTGAAGTTCCCTGATATCTTCTGTAAATTTGCCCAGTAATCTTTGAAGTTTGTTTCAAGTGTCTTATACTCACTTATCTAGAGTATTTACATGCTTACAATCTATTGTAGGCCTCAATTGCTTCTATCAGTATTTGGTTTACCTTTTTCAGAAAACAAAATCTTTACTGAGAAAGAAAAATAAATTAAAAGTTTTTTTTTTTTCTTTTTGTAATACATCAGTATTTTATTGCTGGTCCAAAGCACTAAGCTTATCTATTGGAACATAATTTAGAATGCCCTTTTATGTGTTCATGGCAAATCTATTGTTATATAACTCTTTGTGGCTGGGTCTTCTCTCATGATTATAGTATCTGGTCATATTCTTTCTCGGAACTAGTGAGGATTTGAGGATGTCATATTTCAGTCCTTCACATAAGACCCTTCTTTCCTTTTAGTCTGTTTTTATTGAGGACTTATTTCTAGGAGAAACTCCCTGATTTTTTCTTCCTTTTTGAAGAATCTGAAAGAAGGTAATTGATAAAATGAGCTCAGTTCTCTTCCTAAACCACACATCTGTGAAAATTACTATGAAGACTGGACCTTACATGTGTGTATATATATATGCATATGTGTACATGTGTATGACATATAGAGTCTTACCTAATTGTATGTTTATTTAAACTGTATACTTGTTTGTGTATATATATATATATATATAATACATTATTAATACGTATATTTACATATACACATCAGGATATTAAAATAAAGTGTTAGCTGAAGTGTCAAATATTACCATGCAAAATTTGCAAGAAAGAAGTTGGGGTAAACTAGTTAGATGACTTTATACTTTTCATTCATATTGATGGCATGAAAAGGCCAGGAATTGGAAATTAGGGAAGGAATCTTGAAGGTTGCTTTGGAATGAGTTATCTTATGTGCCTTACTTCCTTCTTTTTTGCGGGGGGGTGGTGCATAGGAAGATACATCCTTAGAGAACTGAATCCGGAGGATCAACCACCTGGAGAATGTGATATATGATTCTCTTTCTTTCCCCCAAACACACAGTTTGGGTGACAAAGTGAACTTTTGTCTGTGTCACCTTCAAGAATTCTAAAGCTTGAGAGCTGGCTGGGTGGGTCGATGGCAGCAGAGCATAGGACTGCATTTTGGCAAATAATGGAGCCTCCAGAGTTTGTCAAAAGAAAGGAAGAGATGTGGACATGTGTGATGCAAAGCCCACAATTGGAAGTCTTAGATTCTGTTCCAGAGACAGACTAGAGGGGAGAGGAGAGTCAGCTGAGGGAAGCTGCCAGTGGCCTCCTGATGCTCAGTGGCTATAGAAGGAACCACAACTGGCTGGAATAGTGACAAAATTGCCCATATCATAGAATGTAAGTGGGAAGTTTCCAGCCGTGGGAGGTCCGAGGAACTCAGGATCATGTCATGAAGGAGATAACTCTAAGCACCAGCCAAACCCAGAAAGACAAAGGATCACCAGTTTGATTCCAACCAGTCAAAACCACCTATTGGAGTCAAAAATCTGTTTTCATATTGGGAAGGAGCTTCTCAGGTACAGGCATAGCTCTAAGATATTGTAGGTTCAGGTTCAGTTCCAGACCACCACAATACAGTGAATACTGCAACAGAGCAACTCAAAGGGATTTTTTGGTTACCTGGTACATATAAAAGTTATGTTTACACCATACTGTAGTCTATTGTGTGCAATAACAATATGTTTAAGAAAATCAATTTAAACCCCTTAATTAAAAATATTTTATTGCTAAAAAACGCTAGCCTTCAGCTGAGCTTTCAGTGAGTTCTAATCTTTTTGCCAGTGGAGGGTCTTGCTTCATTGTTGTGGATTGCTGACTGATCAGGGTGGTGGTTGCTGAAGGCTTGGAGTGGCTGCAGGAATTTCTTAAGATAAGGCAACAATAAAGTTTGCTGCATTGAATCTTACTTTCATGAACAGTTTCTCTACGCCATGCAATGCTGTTTGATAGCATTTTACCCACAGTAGAACTTTTTCAAAATTGAAGTTAATCCTCTCAAATTCTGCTGCTGCTTTATCAACGAAGTTTACAGAATATTCTAAATCCTTTGTTGTCACTTCAACAGTCTGCCAGGAGTAGATTATATCTCAAAAACATTTTTCTTTGCTCACCCATAAGAAGCAACTCCTCATCCATTCAGGTTTAATCATGAGATTATAGCAATCCAGTTCCATCTTCAGGCTCCATTTCTAATTCTAGTTCTCTTGCCATTCTACCACATCTCCAATTACTTCCAATATTGAAGTTTTGAACCCCTCAAAGTCATCCATCAGGTTTGGAATCAACTTCTTCCAAATTCCTGTTCATGTTGATATTTTGACCTTTTCCCATGAATCAAAAATGTTCTTAATGGCATCTAGAATGGTGAATCCTTTCCAGAAGGTTTTTAATTTACTTTGCCCAGATGCATCAGAGGAATCACTATCATGGCGCTAGAGCCTTACAAAATGTATTTCTTAAGTAATAAGACTTGAAAATTGAAATTACTTCTTGATCTATGGACTGCAGAATGAATGTTGTATTGGCAGGCATGAAAATAACATCAACCTCATTGTTTATCTCCACTGGGGCTCTAGGGTGACCAGGCACACTCTCAACCAGCAGCCAGTTTTGAAAGAAATCTTTCTTTCTGGACAGTAGTTCTCAACAGTGGGCTTACAATATTTAGTAAACCATGTCATAAGCAGGTGTGTTGTCATCCAAGCTTTGTTGTTCCATTTATAGAGCACAGGCAGAGTAGATTTAGCATAATTCTTAAAAACCTTAGGATTTGCAGAATGGTCAGTGAGCACTGGCTTCAACTTAAAGTCACCAGCTGCATTAGCCCCTAACAACAGAGTCAGCTTGTCCTTTGAAGCTTTGAAGGCAGGCATTGACTTCTCCTCTCTAACTCTGAAAGTCCTATATGGCATCTTCTTCCAATAGGAGGCTGTTCCATCTGCGTTGAAAAATTGTTGTTTAGTGCAGCTACCTTCATTAATTATCTGAGCTGGATCTTCTGGATAACTTGCTGCAGCTTCTATATCAGCCTTTGCTGCTTCACTTTTCACTCTTCTGTAACGGAGGTGGCTTCTTTCCTTAAACCTCATGAACCAACCAACTTTTTTTTTTAATTTTCTTCCAGAGATATTTTAATAAAAATTGGCTATTTCCAAGAAACACTCACTGCATGCCCATCAATAAAAGAGAACCACAACAAAATAGAAAATTTACCATATGGCTATGATTTAAAGAAAAAAAAATGGGCAGACACTCAAGCACAAAGTCCAATATTAAAGTCATATTCCTTTTTATGGGCTATGATTAGGATTCTGAATATTTACCGAAATAAAACAATACAAATGCTGGACTACTTAGGTCAAAGGACCTCTCATAGAAGCATATCTGTCCTTAAAGGCATTCCAGTTTGAGACTCAATTTTAAGAATAAGGCATAACAAATGAACAGAAGACATACCAGGTGAAAGAGGGATTCTTCAATTCCCAACATACTCTACACCTGATAAAACAAATATAGACTTTTTTTTTTTCTTTAAACAACTGCCAAGGCTGGAATCAAAGATAAATAGAAGGCACAACAGTTTTGCTCTGGTTTTGTGTTATTTGGATTTTGGGGTTTCTTTGTTTTTGGTTTTGTTTTGTTTTGCAAATACAAATTAAACATGAAAAAACTACTTCAAAAGAAATCTATATCAGTTGCATTCTAGACATTTAAAACCTTTCTCACAATTTAAATGGTAAAAACAGGTTTATAATTGTTTTGTGATCATATATCAAAAGAAAAAAAAAACTCTACTAACACCTTTTATTTTTTTAACCATACCAGCAAGAATCAAAACTGTCAATTTTTCCAATGGCAATTTCTACATACCAGAAGGTAGTCATGACTCTCAAAGAAGAAACAATTTGGATTTTTCCTGCCTTCAAAATGTTTATCAAATCCTGTGTTTCTCACAGGCTTTTGAAACACATAGAAAATAAGAAATATTCCAATGAATGAAACATACCAAATGTCAGTAATAAGCAAGACACATTCCTTTGGGGAAACGGCTGTTAAAAAAAATCCAGTCTGTATATGCAAAAGTAAAGCAAGGAAATTCAGTCTTTTTCTCTTCTTTAAAAATCTGTTTTTCCTAAAATATCATTCCACAAAATTGGAAGTGAAGGACTAAAAGGTGAGGAGAGGGAAGGGCGGGAAAGGGAGCACACATAATTAACACAAAAAGTAAAATTGTACAAACTTAAGCAGTTTATAATAGACTAGGGTCAAACTCCAGGATACCAAACGCTGGTGTAAGAAATTCACCATTCTGCAGGAGCTAGGAGATTTGTACTGCTGCGTGAAGATCAATTGAAGAGCAATTCACTGCCTTGGAGCGATTCCCCTTCCCACTCCAAATCCTGGTTTCTGCACCATGCCTCCCCGGGGAGGGCCTCTCATTCCACCACCCAGCCCACCTCGAGGGCCTCCAGGTCCCCGCAGGCAGTTATCTTGACGGTCCCCTTCCCGGGCAGCTCGAGTACTCTTCTCTTCCACATTCAGACGGACCTCACCTCTGAACATGATGGGCCGGTTGCTAAGGACCTTCTGAACAGGCTCAGAATCATCAAACACAACAAAACCAAAACTGGGTAATTTCCCGCCGCTGTTAATGCGTAGCTCTACCACATTCCCATAACTTTGAAAAAAATCTTTAAGCTCCGATTTGTCCACTTCATGTGGCAGATTGCCAATGAAAAGTTGGTGACTATTAGGGTGTCTCACAATTCTTTGGGGTTCAACATCACTTTGCTCACCAGCCTCACGGATTGGTCTAGGTCCGCTCTGGGGAGGAATATTTATTTGTTGTTCTCTCACTCTTTGATCCCTTTGAGGCCTCTGCGGTGGAATCTGAGACTCAGGCTTAGACTCTGGTCGAGGCTGTGAAGCTGGTACTTTAACAACATGAGGTGGTATCCCAGTAACTGGAACAGCTCCACTGGGTGGAAGGTTCTTACTGGTCACAGATGCCCAAGAAAATGTCTTCAAGTCTGAGCTATGTCCGTAGGTGCTGGGGAAGAACTCTTCTGAGCATCCTCAGGGGCAGTTTCTTCCAATGCTGGCTCAGACTTTTCCTCTTGGATTTCAAATACAGGTTCTTGCTCTGGTTCTGGTTCAGGATCTGGCTCCGGTTCAGCAACAGGTTCCTCTAAATGTTCTTCTAAGTCATTGCTGACAGTCTGATCATAGAAAGTTCCAGAGTCATCAGGTACCACCTCAGGTGTCTGCTGTCTTTCTTTAGGTTCCTCTACCTCTTCCTCAGATTCCTCCTGAGGCTCAGTGACAAAGCCACCAAAGACCTCATCTTGGTATCTGAAGATATCATTGTGAACGTAGAACTTATTTGCAACAGAGCCGTCAGGAGCAAGGACAAATGTCTGCATGACTCTCCTCAAAGCCTGGTTGTTAATAGAGAGAACCCCATCACCTGGACCACTACACCATCATTCAGAGTGGCATGAGCATCAACATGGTGAATCTTAGTGTGACAACTGGTAAAGTTTTGTGACATCGCTTTCCTATGGATCTCTTTCTGTCCATAGACCGCATCTGCTGGCTTTCCATTTGAATCCAATCCCCCGTGGACATAAGAAGAGTTCTTTCCATAAAATCTGTGTAGCATGTCTGGGGCCTGGTTCAGCAGTGTGTAATACTGTCTCACAAATTCCTGCCTGACCAGCAGGGGACTAGGCTTCTCCATAACCATTGCTTTGGTCAATTCAACCTGTGCGGCTGAGCGGGAGAGGAACAAGCTTTGCTCCACAGTACAGCAGAAGGCAAAATCCCCTCACGCAACTGCGTCCGCCCCAACCAACTTTTCTTCAGTTTCCTCACCTCTCCCAGCCTTCACAGAACTGAAGAGAGTGAGGGCTTTGATCTGGATCAGGCTTTAGCTTAGGGGAATGTTGTGCCTGGTTTAATCTTCTGTTTAGACCACTAAAACTTTTTCATATCAGCAATAAAGCAGTTTCTCTTTCTTATCATTCACTGTGTTCACTGGAGTATTACCTTTCTCCTTCAAGGACCCTTCCTCTGCATTCACAACCTAGCTAACTGGGTGGTGCAAGAGGCCTAGCCTTCAGCTTATCTTGGCTTTTGACCTGACTTCCTTGCTAAGCTTAATCATTTCTAGTTTTTGGTTTAAAGTGAGAGATGTTAGGGTCTTTCTTTCACTTGAATATTTAGAGGCCATTGTAGGGTTATTAGTTGGCCTATTTCAATATTGTTGTGTCTTGGGGATGAGGGAGGCCCTAGGAGAAGGAGACTGATGCGGGGAGGGGTGGTCTGTGGAGCAGTCGGAAATATACAAGTATCTATTAAGTTCACCATCTTTGGGGCATGTGGGTGGCTCAGTTGGTTAAGTGTCTGACTCTTGGTTTTGGCTCAGGTCATGATCTCAGGGTCATGAGATCGAGACATGCATTGGGCCTCCTTAGAATTCTCTCTCCCCCTCTCCCTCTGCCCCTCCCTACCAGCTCACGTGGGTGCACGTGATCTCTCTCTCTAAAAAAAAAAAGTTCACCATCTCATATGGGCATGGTTCATGGTACCCCAAAATTATAATAGTAACATCAAAGGTCACTGATCACAGATCACCATAACAAATATAATAATAATGAAAAAGTTAGAAATATTGTAAGAATTAAAAAAAATGTGACTGAGACACGGGATTGCCATAAACCTTCAATTTATAAAAAAAAGGCAGTATCTGTAAAGAATAAAGTGAAGCACAATAAAATAATGTATGCCTGTACAGGGAAGGAGAAGAAACAGACTAACTCCCACTTCCTTATTTGTACATGGTCCCCCTGTATTTTTGATTCTCACGTAGCAAAAGACAGTTCAACTATAGAATCAAACCTATGATTTGCAACTTAGTGAGACTTTAGGACTTCTAATTGCTTTCAAGTGATCACACTTATGGGGTGGATTTTCTTTTTCTTTTTTTTTTTTTAGATTTTATTTATTTATTAGAGAGAGAGAGAATGAGAGAGAGAGTGCATGAGAGGAAGGGGGGTCAGAGGGAGAAGCAGACTCCCCGCTGAGCAGGGAGCCCCATGTGGGACTCGATCCTGTTACTCCAGGATTGTGACCTGAGCCGAAGGCAGTCGCTTAACCAACTGAGCCACCCAGGTGCTCCATGGGGTGGATTTTCATCCAGGTGCCTGGGAAGAACTAGGCCACTGCCAAATTTGTGAGAATGGTGGTCAAAAAAATAAACTTACTTTGCAATTGCTCTCTCTGAGTCATATCTGTCACCCAGGAAAACCATTAAGATAGGCTGCATCATATGGATCCTGTTGTATGTCTAAATACCTATTATTTTAACTATGTTTTAATAATATAGTATATTTATGATTGCCTAATGTGTTCCCTAATTATCCCATGAGCACTGTTTTCTATTCCTGGCTTTATTACTTCTCTGTGTAGACAAACTGAAGTGATATTCAAGTCCTTTACATTTTAACAATGTCTTTCAACCAATGACCATTAGTTTCTTTGTCATCTATTTGTCTTCCTATCCATTTCTTTCTTCCTATTATCCACTTGTGTTTTGAATGGTGATTTTGTTTTTTTAAACTTCACAATCACTACTTAAGCTTTTATTACACACTTACACTGCCTTACCTTGAATTAATTTATTCAACTGCTCTCCAGTGAAACACATGCTTTTATTTAGCACTTTTATTTATTTAGAGATCAACACCCCTGCTTCTTGAGATCCACCTGATTTAACAGTCACAGGCTAAAATGGAACTGTAAGTTTGGATGTGGAAAATCAGTATCAGCCTCCTATCACCTGCCAGATAAAAATCAAAAGATGCTGGGTGGCTTATTTATTTGTTTATTTATTTAAGAGGCATTCAGAGAGTATTATTTTTTTTTAATTATAGTTGACACGCAAAATTACATTAGTTTCACGTGTACAGCTTAGCGTTTCAACTTCTCTAGATGTTATGCTGCACTCACCACAAGTGTGGCTGTCATCTGTCACCATACAATGCCATCACAACATCATCGACTATATTCCTTATTCTATATTTCTTTTTTTTTTTTAAGTGGACTCCATGCCCAGCACAGAGCCCAAAGTGGTGCTTGAACTCATGATCCTGAGATCAAGACCTGAGCTGAGATCAAGAGTTGGACACCCAATTGACCGAGCCACCCAGTGCACCCACCTTGCTGTATCTTTAAAATCCACATAAAACAGTCAGGAGCATCCTTAGAAATTTGTTCTTTTTGAGAAAATGCCAGTTCTTCTAGTCCAGGGGTTCGTAAGGACAGTCAGGGGTTTGTGAGCTCAAAATTATTTTCATAATGATACTAAAATATTAGTTGCTTTTGCCCTCTCATTCTGTCATTAGTGCAGAGTAGATGACATGTGAAACACCATCACACAAATGGTTAGTGGGATGTATGCTTGTGTTCTCCTGTTTTTAAATGCTTATTTAAAATTTTTAGTTAGGTAAATTTTGATAGATTATAACCACATAAACAAAAGCTTGTTAGGGTCCTTAGACCAAAGAATTTAAGAACCTGCATTCTAAAACTGTTTTTTAAATATTTAATATACAAGTAATTATACAATAAAAGTGGAGTAAAACTGGTCTAAATGAATATATATATATGTAATTGTTAGGGTTCTAAATGCATATATATATATATATATATATATATATATATATATATACACACACACACACACATACATATATATAATGGTTACAGTCCTCAGAAATTCTGAGGCTTATATTGTTTTTACTGTCTTATTCATATAGTTTACTATGACAAAAAACATTTGGAAAATCTTAATTTTCTTGATAACCACTTAACCAAAAAGGTCAGAGCTAGTTTGATGATTTAGTGTCCTGACATAAGTATTTTTGAAGAATTATTGCCTTGCATATTAAATTAATTGGATATAGATTTACTTTTAAATTATGTAGTCCAGTGTAAACATACTTCAATTAAAAATAAGTTAACTAAATAAATAATAAATAAATAATGTAGTCCAGGGGAAGCAAACAAAAGGAATAATATTGGATATATAATGTGGTAAGTCAGTCATACAAGATAAACTCATCTTTTCTAGTTACTCTGAGAATATTTATTGGTAAGTATTATCTCTCATTTTTCATTTTCATAAAAACTTCAATGCATTTATCAAAGTGGAGCTTTTCTCTCTTAATCTGTTGTGTAGAAAGCAGTCCGGGGAAAACAAAAAAACACAAAAGCCAAGAACTAGGAATGCCTACAAAGTAGAGGAAGCTTATATCTCTTTTAGACAAGTCAACATTTTTTTATTCAAATATTTAAAATTATATGAAATGACAAAAGGAAAAGATTCTTTTAAGGTTTGTGCATTTAGGACAGAAAAAATTAAGGATGGCTAGCCCAGAGGTAGAGAGTGATTTATAAAGAGAAAAGTTAAAACTAAAAATAGTCTTCTCAAGTCTTGCACTATGGAGAATAGGAAGACATCCTGATCAGTGACTGGGGAAACATTAGGTAGTTGGAAGTTTAGAGGTATAATTAGGAAAGTTACACAAAGGGGTTTCTCAGTATTGATTGAGTCACACACATTATCATTGACAAGGAACAACAAATGAATAATACATTATTTAGATGACAAAGGGGTGTTAATGCCCAGGAAAGGAGACTTTAAAAAATTTAGTGACTTGGGAAGACTGTCCAAGATTACAATCCCTTGAAAAGAAAAATATTGATAATAAAAACAAATTAGGAAGGAAATATACTCCATCAAGTATGAAAAATTAAAAAGAAAAGGAAGATGAATATCTGGGAGGTAAAAAGTAAACCTCTGATGAAGAATTAATGAAAGGGGACCTCACAACGAAGCTGTGAGACAGTCATAAGCTGTTGGTACTGTTTATGCCATTGTTATAAATTACCCCACACTCCTTTTCGTCATTATTTACTTACCTTTCCTGGTTGTTTCTGGCTTCAGTACAGTTAGTTATTATATTCCTTTGTCTAGTGTTCTGATTTTTTTTAAGCCTTTGACCTCCTACTTTTTCCTTATCTACATTATTAAGGGAGAAGAAATGTGATTGACATTTAAAAGGTCTCATCTATGCCCTAGAAACTATGATGAGTACTTTGTATAATATGATTTAATCTTCACAAAAATTTGTGAGATACATAGAATTATCTTTATTTTCCAGATGATAAATCGCAAGCATGATTTGCCAAAGATTATACAGCTAGGGAATGACCAAGTTCAGTTAGCGTTCTTTCCACTACACTATAGTGATTTCAAAAGTAATTGCTAATCATAATTATGAATATGGGACACTCTGGAATCATTAAAGAAAGATTAAGTACTACTCAGTGTATAATATTAGTTTAATTTCAGAAGCAACTGAAATAACTCTTTTCTTTAACAATTAACCCACTTGATTTTATTGTATCACTGGTGGTAGAAATAACATAAAATGCTTACGGGCACATACAGAAGCACATTCCTCCTGTCGGCTGATGGAAACAGGAGGGGATTCCTGGAAAATTTTGTGGGTGTCTCTCTCTCTCTGGCAAAGAATGTCAGGCCGAGTCTCCAGGTCTGTTATGGAGGGAATGCTCTTATTTTCCTTCTGTTTTGCAGTCTCTCCTTAGAGACATAGTGCTCTCCGGCTTCCTCCCGGCTGCCAACTCCATAGATTGTTGGCTTTCACTCACTTATGCCCTGAGAAGTCTTTTACAGAAATAGCACAGCGGATTACAGATCTGCCTTCTCTTACTGCTCAAATGCACCAATATTTCTTAGCCCTTGGTACACAGGCCAATTTTGTTAAAAAGGTT